GACGAGATATTTAAACACTAGCCGAGAGAAGCAGGTAAATAATGTCATGTTTTACAATGTGAAAAATACTTGTGTACTCCCAACACAGCTTAATAAGTCCCTTTTTATCGTATCATTTAATATCATCTCTGTATACATGTGTCCATAAACCTCCAATTCATAAAATCAAAAAGAGGAAATCGTGTAAATAACTAAAAATTCGGCTCCTCCCCAGACATGACTAGGGCTTGGCGGCTCCTTCCTCGCGTCTCCTGCTCCCGGAACATCTCTTCTCAGACTTTCAAGACTCTGAGTCGTCCTCGATCACACGGCCTCTCTCCTCCTGCTGGGGGGCGGCTGTCTGTCCCCGACTTGAAGTGTTGAGTGTAGTGAATATAGTTGCTAGTGCAAAATATTCATTTAAGGTTAATGGAGGGTAATAAGTTAACCGGACTGACTGTAAGATGCTTTAGGTTTTCTTCTCCACAAGAGATAAAAAAAAAAGTTTAGCCTTGAAGGTATGTTAGAAAGTCAGTCATTTTGTTCAATTTCATTTCTTCATTTATTGATAAATGTTGTGGTGAACATGGCCCAGTAACATGTTTATTTCTGTTCTATACCTTATAAATATGTACAACTTGTAAATATTATAAAACAACTACGCTTTCTGAAAATGTATATATACACACACAAATAAATATAAGTATTATGACCTAATATTTCTCTCGCTTTCCTTAATTAAAATCAAGAGAATCATTTATTTACTAGAAAATTAAGAGTTCAATAAAGAAATCAATCATTTATATCATATTTTGTATCATACAGTGGTTTAACTGTGTAACATCATTACTAATATTCTGAGGTTCAGTATCGAAATGTTCTAGACAAAACACACCGGTTAATACTAATACGACCAACTAAAAATATATATAAAATATTCGTGAATATGTGCCAAACATGCAAGTCTGTCTGTAAAATGTATAATGTGCATTTTCTATTTTTGTTTATATTTCAATGGTTATGGAGTTTAAATGATAAACTTTAACATTTTTCCTAGTCTTACTCCATGACAAAAAAAAATCTTTGTGTATCTTGTCTAGGAGTATGGGGATTTGTTCTATCAATCTGTAGAAGGAAAAGTATAAGTTCTAGATTAGCTATTAGGCTTCTGTGCTAAGGGAACCAAAGGAGATACAGTACCATAGCTGTAGACATCGAATTTCAGAGAATTTGATTCATAAAAAAAAAAACATTTTCTCAGAGCAGTGATTTTTTTATCATTTGTAATTCAATTCTTCACATCAACTTTGGTGTCTTGTCCCACATTATCTGTCACCTGAGTTACACTGGAAGACACCATTGGAAGGGCAGAAGAAGCCCTGCTAAAAGGGCCTAGAGCATACTATTAGAAGGGATGAAGGAAATGCCAATAGAAAGACTGAGGGGACACCAAGAGAAGAGCTTGGTGGGCTCCTTTGGAAAGGCAAAGGCACTCACACCCATGTGTATGTATGTGTGTGTGTGTGTGTGCAATATTATAACTCATATTATTCTTACAATGACTTAAGCAAGTTTTTATTATCAATAGCCGTCAGGTGCAAATGAAGATGAAGAGAATATTAGAAGATACACTTACATTGGAAAAATATCATGCTTATCAGTATGATAGTACTTTTAGTATTATTACTGTAGTTTCATCTCCTTCTGTAACTTTTATTTTTCCCTACTGACTCCTTAGGTTTTGTGCTAGGTAACAGAATTTATTTTTGTACAACCAAAATATCATGTGCATTGTCTGCCAAACACCACTTCATCCTTTGGTAGATTGATTAAACTTGGTCTCACAAAGGTCTGTATAGATAGCTATAATTTTAAAAGTAAGATATTATGTTTCATTCACTATTTCTTTTTTAGCTTTTCTTCATTTTGGTAACGTTTTCAGCTTCATTATTTTTTGCTTTCTCCTAGTTGTAAGACATGTGATGTGTTATTTTTTGCTTTATTCTAGTTGTAAGACATGTGAAGTGCTATGCATAAATTTCTTTCCTTTTAAACCACCTATTCTGTTTTTTCACATTAAACATTATGCTCCTGGTTTTCTATCGTATGTCCACAAACAGTTGTGAAGTAGTATTTCCAAATACAAACAGAATCTCAGGAAAATGAAACCCACTACTGCTTGGCAAAGATTTATTTCCAACACCAGCACACATCTGCACACTTGGCATTTGCGTCAGTCAGTTGGTCCCAGAGAACTACATCTCTGATTCAGTGATTGTCAGCACTAAAAAAAAATCACTTCCAGTAATTAGGAATCTGTCCATTAGTTTTATATGACTGATGAAAAATTCTAATACTAATATATATGTGTGTATGTGGTCACCATACTCGACTGTGAAGTTAGACTATGGCTTAGCTTCTGTCAGCAGATGTAAGAAACCCATTTGTCAAAGTCCAACATTTAAGACACCTGGTATTTCAGCACTAAAACAGACTTCCTTTTAATGAAAATGTTGCTATTCTAAAGCTGTGTCATTTCCACCAAACGTAAGCAGTTACTTATAAGGGATCATTATATGCAAGTCTAGCCTGACTCGAGGGATGTCTACTATTTCTCCAACAACAGAGGTTCAATAGATTTTCAAGTCCTCAAGAACAGTAACAGAATACCATTATACTTCAACTGATTAATATGAGTTTAAAGTTGCTATCTATAATAATAATAACAAATGATGATATCTTGTGGTTGCAATGATACATCTAAATAAATAATACTGTACCAAGAGACTTTTTAAAACACAATATACAATCCTTATTATTCAGCATATATGACTATTCAATACAAGAGATGTTTCTATAAAACATGTAACTATTTTGAAACTATATACATTTCAAATTACAACAGCCATATACAACAATGTACAGAAATGGAATACATTATAGCAAAAAGTATAAAAAATCTAATATTATAACCAAGGTATACGGTAACATATACAGTCCTTAATTTCCGTAGTTTTACATACTGAAGAAAAAAAAAAGAAAAGAAAATGAAAAAAGGACAATGTACTAAAGCAGTTCTATCCATGTCAAGGACACACACTCACAAGATATTTTTAAAAAGGGTACAATAAGTAACACAATCACAATACTAAGACAATAATATGAGATGATAAAACATACAAGAAAACACCAAATATCCTCAAGTCACAAACTCAAAGAGAACAAAACAAAATAAAAATAATAATGATGATAATGACAGAAAAAAAAGCATGTGAAACGTACAACAGATTCTAGTTGCTTGTAAAGTTTACCATCTCAATTGGAACATATCTCCAACAGATGCTACTCATTTACTTTTAGTTTTGTTCTTTGGGACAGTTTGTTATCAGATCTGACAGTAATGGAAGAATTAAAGCAAATAAAGAAATCTGCTTGATCAAACAGACATTATACAGGACAGTTGTATAAGAGAAACATATCTTAAGATTGTGTCAAGCAATTTGTTCTGCTTTGAAACCTTTGGCAATCACTTTTTGAAGCAGACAGCGTACTTCAAAATTTTGATAGGAAAATTTCTTGAAATCCCTCTGACTTTGCAATACTAACTGACTTAGAGTTTCTGCTTGCAATTTCACACATTGACTTGACAGTTTATGCGTTCAAGTCTCCTTGTTGATGAAGTACAAGCAACAGAGTTTCAAGGAATTCTCATGGTGTGTAAGATAAGATTCTTAACTGCTAATGAGTAATGTTCGTGAAAATGAAATAAAAATAATGCACATTAACAATCAATAAGCAATCTGGAAGACTGTCATAAAATATATACACATCTTATATATAATGTAAGCATTAAAAGAAAAATTGTATATTTTACAGAATCACAATGGCACACAAGATATTTTCAGATTTTTTTTCTTATAATATCTGTAGAAAAAGTCTGCAGAAGTAATCTACAGAAAAAAAAAAATAAATAAAAAATAAAAAACTTGCGTGATATGCCTCCACCTATTCTGTCCGTGAATAGGCACAGCAGCATACCCCCACAGTCGTAATATTCTTCGTGTAATCTGAGCAAAAAGTAAAGCTTCATTTAGCTAAGTAGATATATGCAGACTGTGTTCAGAACACATAGATCTCCATCCTGTTATGTTATAGAAAATAATAACATACAGAACAATGCTGTGGTTCTTTTCTTCTCTTTGGAACCACATCTTCATATGCCTCAGAGTGCTATTTTAACAAGTGCCATCAATTAAATTCAAACTATATGAATAAAACATGCTACAACATTATCTACTGTTAAGCAACTTTGTAGTCATTACTGCCCAGTCCCTGCCCATTTTCAGCTGAGCTTCATCTCAAAGTATTCTTGTGTTCAGTAGTATCCACACTACACAAAGTATGGACTACTGCTTTAAGACAAAATATGACTAACATTTTATAACATTAATATAAGATATCAATTTGCCTGGATCATTACCATTCAGCTGATTTTTTTCCTTTCAATATCTCCTCTCTTATACAAAAAGGCAGGGACTATAAAGAAAAAAAAAAAATGAATTAAGCAAAGCTCTCTTCACCCATTAGATATTGGTGTGGGCACTGGACTACATTTGTGGCAAGCGTTGAGCACTCTGGGCATGGCTGCCATCAATCGATTTCTTCAACATACGTCGCAGGGAATATACCGACAACACTATCCAGTTCACCGACCCACCAACCATCAGGCTGTTTATCATGGATGTTGATTATATCACCTGTGGAGATAAAAGAAATATATGAATACACAGCATTAAGAATAGTGTAGTATCTATGTATGTCTTTCACATAAAAAACTTGAATCTCTCTCTCTACAAAATATGAACTACCCTTCAACACACATTTCAGATCAACACTACAAAATAATGTTGTAGTTGAACCTAAGACAAAAAGCCACTGACCTGTTCTGATGGTGAGTTCATCATACATATTGGCCTCATAGTCATAGAGCGCCTTGCACCTTCCAACAGTTGGCACAGATT